TTCGAAACTATTTACTTACGCTTGTTTAGGAATCAATTATTGTGGTATTGCTTTACGATTTGTTGATGATGATTATAAACTTGAACAGATGAATTATTTAATGAACGACCAGCATCAAGTAATGCTTGTGCTAAAGTTTTAAAGCCATTCCCATTAATTACTTCAAATGGTCGTCCATCAAGTGCTGAAAATTCAGTACATGCTTGAATAACGGATAATCTAATTTTTCTTCGAACTTTTAATGTTTTCTTGGGTGAAAAGAGTTCATGAACTTTTTTTTGATTAAGATTACTAACTTTTGTTGTTGAACAAGACTTCAAATGAGTTTTCATATTGTTCGTACCATTCGCTGATGTATAAACAAGAAGACTTTTACATCCATTACATGTTACGAATTGTTGTTGTATATTATTGACGAATATTTGATGAAAATATTCCCATAATTGACTAGAATTTAGAGTTTTTTGTTTTTGAATAAATTTAAGAGATTCATGATTTTGTTGGATGAGATCTTCGAGCTCTTTTCTTGTCAAAAGTTTTGAAGTCATTTCTATTTTCGTTAGTAAATATCAAGAAGATTTTCAAAATTCATTATTTTCTGATTTTCATTCATTCGCCTACTTTTTATCTATTAGTGTGCATTAGTCACATGAAAGTATAGTCATATATAATAGAGGTCGTTGGCTTTCATCGAAAAAATTTCGGAGTTGGAATCGGAGTCTAATAAAGAAAAAAATTCGTAGTCGGAGTCGGAATCGGAGTCAAAAACGTTGACTCCGTCGATCCCTAGTCACTACATGGTGAAAACCACGTGTTTTAAAGCACCCCCACCAATACAGTTTTGAGGCTAGAGTCTGTTTGAAAACAGTTTTGGGTTCAGTTTATGATGCCGAATCAGGAAAAAATAGTTTGAAAACTAAAACCATACGGCAAAATAAAAAATTTTGCGTATTTCATAAAAAGATGCACTTTTCTCAAAAACTGACCTCTGTTGATTATCTCGGGTTTTTCACCCAGAAAAAAGATTTCACTAAAGCTAAAAAGTAGATATTCGTGATCAGTGGCTAAAACTGCACCAGATGATGTAAAAAAAGTGGCGACAAAAATACCTTACTCGACGTTTGCATTGCCGGCACCTTATAAATTGTAATATCTAAAATGATCTTTTCTTGAGGGTGAGGGTGAGGGTGAGACAATCTGCCATGACCGGTTTCGTCCCTATTACAGGACTAATCATATGGCTTCATATTCAAGATGATCTCTCTTTTCAAAAGAAATCGAACTATCAAAGGACGTTGTTCAATAAAGGAGTCGTTCATGGAATGATTTGATTACTCTGAGTGTGTTGGAGAGTTGTTCACTGAGAAGAGGGATGTTTGTTTCTCACTGGCCAGTTTCTGGATTTGGACGGTGTTGATATCGATATATTTAGGAGGCAATTGAGTCGTGTAAATTATTGCTAAGAAAGATCTAGAAGAAAATCGAAAGAGTAAAATATGCTATCGACAGAAGTTTTTAATGTTATACGTATGCTGAGAAAGGTATCTTATATGTCTACAGGTGAAATAATATAGATGTAGAGTAAAAAATGAAATATTTATATAAGGAAAAGCGTTTAGTTTTAGTTTGCGATCGTGGATTGAAGCGTAGTAATCGATCTGGTTGACTTATTTAGCCGATCTTTACTGTCGGATATAGATTGCTCGTTGATTCATATGTATTCGACGGTTCTCAATAGCATCACTGACGAGTTGCTGCCACTGTGATGTTTTTTCCATGTACGGATTCTGTATTGAGAATTTGTTCTGTTCAGTTTGTATTAGAGAGTTTAAATTCTCTATTTTCCTACGGCTAGTAAGAATGGCTTGTTGAATAATATCGATCTTCAAAGTTTTTAATCTGTTGACTTCATTGATTAAAAGTTGACTTGTTGTAGATGTTTCAATGATTACATTCAAATTCTTTATATCCAGATCAACGTTATTGATTATTTCATGCACTAAGCTAAATGACGGTTGTAATGATGTTGACGTAAGACACTTTTCTAACGTAGCAATATCTGCTTCTATCATCATTTGCTCTTTTGTTCGTTTCCATATATGTCTTGCCCGTGTGATCTATAATCGATAGAAATCAAAAAGACATTTATTATAATGGATATTTTATTACTATACGCATAATTACATGATTCTTGTTTGGTTTAAGATCGAAGAATTTTGTAACTAATCGGTGATCGGTTGCATCCAAAAGAAGTATATTTCTTTTATATTGCAAATCATATTGTAGTGATTGTTGTTTCTCATGTATCAACTGATTAATAGTTGAAGATAATTCAAGCATTGCAGAGAAGCAATCTATATTATGCTCACACTGAGATAGGATTTCTTGTTCAAACTGTTCGATTGCACTGTTGGCTCGTTTCAATTGACTCTCAATTTCTTTCAGACGTTGTTCAACAAGAGTTTCAGATTTACCATACGAAGAGCAGATGGAATGCTTCTCTGCAAAGGTCTTGGATACATATCCATGCCAAATGTTCTGTGTCATACCAATATGATGATAATATTTCCATTGACTTTCTTGTAATTGTTGATATGAAAATTGATCAATGAGAGCCATATATTGACGAAGAAATTGTATCTTCTGATCTTCATTGAATAAACGATTAAACTTCTCTGTCCGATCAAATATTGCAGATGTCTTTTGAGATAGAACTTCATCACTTATAGCAATATAATTAACCGAAGTATTCCGCATTGATAGATGTCTATTTGATTGGTTTTGCTCAGTTTGTTGTGCTATAACACCTGTTGTTGAGGATTGAGTACCAACAATTGAATTCAAACCTTGTTTACGAACTTTTCGACGATACCGTTGTAGTTTAAGATTACCATGACAGTTGTTTCTTCGTTTCTTCTGCTGTTCTTCTTGAACATGTTCTGATTTAACGTTTGTTGCAGTTTGGTCTTTATTCACAAGAGATGAATATCGATCTTGATAAAATACAATTTCCATACCACATGCATTACCATTCGTACTAGTGACATTCATTATTGAAATAGTATGATATGAAGATATAAAGTATATCTGAAATACACAGACATATGTCATTGATCTCGTAGTCAGTACGACTCAAACTATCATGATTTGTTTTCACATAAGGGGCATTATCAAGTATACTGTGTCTTCTCAACCAAATTCAAGATATCTAAATCATTACAAATTCACTTCAATTCCAAATGAAAAATCTAATCTATAAAACATAATTTATTGTTCATATCTGAAATGAATTATTTACCTTCTAAAGTAACACATATCAGGTTATTCTCTATGACACACACACATAATTGAATTAATGTACTACTTTAACCCATTCACCACGATGGGATCCACCGGTGGACCCCACTATATTTTAGTAAGAAACTTAATAGAAAAACGCTTTCTTTTCTTTTATTCTTAAGCGGAAGGTTACACATAATGTGCGATCTGCTTTGCCTTCGCTATTTTCAGACTCATCTGGTACATAGCATGATGCTTCTCGTTAGAACAATCAAGACAAAAAAATTTGTTACAATCAGAACAGAAAGTTTTTACTCTCTTTGTTGTTGAATGACACGCTTCTCTTGATTGTTGTTGCCAATTTTTCTCGTAACAACCAGCACAACCTCTTCAGACATCACGACCAGCTCCTTCTTTTTCTTTAAGTTTGTGATCAGCAAGTTTGCGTTTCGTTTGACCTATTGATTTTTGTCTTGGACCCGGCTTCATCTTCTCGAATGGCATGCCAAGCAGTAAAGATCGGACAAGACTTTCACGAAATTGCAGAATGGTCACTTTGCTTGCTGCGTAGTTTTCCTTGTATATTAAATAGCTATTTACCAGTGCCGTCCCAAAAACTAATTCAAATGCTACTTTTCGGTACCACTTTATTGACCGCCTGAGGCACGTGTAATATGATGATAGCTGATCAGATAAATCAGTACCTATTCTTCCTTCATTGTAATCCAGTACAACTTGTGGCTTCATGATGCGTTCATTTTTACTATTGCTATTTCCAGTATCCACCAAAGTTGCTGAATGCAACGGCCGTGTAGATATCACCAAAACGTCTTTCTTGTCTTTCCATTTGATCAATTTTACGCCTTCTTTATTCTGAAGTCCCTAAACTTCACCACGTCGAAGGTTTTTTTGAGCAACTTCGCTGCCTGATCCGGCACGATTACTTCTCAGTGTCCCAATAAGATACGTATCATATTCTAACAAACGCTTTGCCAGGAGAATGCTGGTAAATGTGACAATCTATGATTGTACACTTCTTCTTTTTCCTTAAGCACTGATGATGACCTTGCTATACGTTTCTTTCCTCTTCCCTCATTCTCTCTTCATCTCTCATCTTCTTCCTCTTTCTATA